TATGATTGGCTGGTGTCTAGAATTTTTAACCATTTTTGACATCTTGCTCCACGATTCTGCGCACTGGGCTTTTAGAAATACCTAGAATGAACAATATAGTATTAACGTCATAAAGTATAGATACAAAGCTAAATGTAGATCATATTCACAGACTAGGTAGGTACAACTAGATATTTAGTTATAATTTTATATCTACTATTAAATTAGGTTGAAGAAGTCTCGTAGCAAATAAACAGGTGAGGCCTAAATAATGGATAATCCTCCACCTGCCGATGAGCCTGCTGTTAGATTCGAAAAAACGGGGTTATTCTAATGTTTTTCATTTTTTTATTTCGGCTTCTTCCTAGAAATAAAGGCGTGAATCATGTTTAAAAAATGGTACTTTACTCACAAATTTTGCTACAGTTGCTACAAATTTTGGAATTTTTGCCTTCTGCTTTTTATTGTAATAATATGTAATAAAAAAAAAAATAACACAGTGGTTTTAATATTATTTTATTATACCAGTAATATATTTTTAAAATAACAGTTGTACTTTTTGGCTAACTCTATTCAAGATTGTTTAGTCGCGCGTAACTACAAAAGTTTTGTTTATCTTAGCATAACCTAAAAATGGTTAACAAAAACTATTCTAATCATGAGTTACCATACAAATTATATTCTCTGAATGTATTGATGACTTGTGGTTGCTGTTTGATGGACTTTTCTACAGTTACTTACCAGTAAAAATAGCTGTTCGATTATAAACATCTTCAAAGTAGGTTTTCAGTTTCCCAGCTTCAAAATTGAATACCTAAACTGTTTTACGCGCACCACTACGAATGTCTTAAGCTTGCTAATGAATTTTTTTCATCTCCAGAACAAATAAAAAATTACACAAAAACCTTAAATTATCACAACATAACATTAACGCACAAAGGTATTGTATTGACAACTGACTAGAGATGGACGATATACATCGATTTATTTAAAACACTCGATGTATAGTAACGATGCATCGTATTAAACCGATGTATTGTTAACACTTCAACATCGAATATATATCGATGTTTTTTATTCGATGCATCGACCAAGCAAATTATGAATGAGTATAGTGTTGTATAGCCGCCAAATAGCTATAGTTTATTGAACGGGGTTCTTTTAATTCGCCCGTTGTGTAGGTCGTTCGACTAGTATTATTCGTTTGTTCGCGGGAAAATTAAATTAAACTTGATTTTTATTATGTGAAAATACTAGATTATGAATTCACTTTAAATAAATACTCGCTGAATTGAACGAAGGAACCGACTGAAGGGGAAGAGATTAAGTAAACTTTTGTTTTTACATGGCATTGACAAAAAATATTGGAATATGTAAAGAAAAATGTGTTGGTTGTGTGATTTTGAATTTGTATAAATATACAGGATGATTTTGAAAGCGTTTTGGAAAAGAAAATTTTGAATTATTTATCAGTAACAGAAGCTATATATAACGTTAATTTAATAAAATATATATTTTTTTTATCATCAAAGTCGATATTCATATCGTTTACAGAGAAAAAGTCAGAACCAGTAGTAGTAGGCTATTCAATCACACGTAGGTAAATACTACGAATAGAAATACTATGCGTTTTAATATCGAGTCACATCAAATCGTATTCGCCAATAAAAACAAAGCTACCGAGTTGCGCCGGAGTCGTCCAACCAATGACGTCTGCCCCGTAGGCGCATGCGCGGGGCTCACCTGTCATCGTCAGTCGGTCAGTAATACCATAACATCGTGACGGCACGCTGCATTGATTAGCGCTAAAATGAGTCGACAGTACGAATTTTCAAACGTGGAATACTTCTTGGCAATGGTACAGCTGTACACTACTGCCAACTACAACTTGGAAGAGGCTCGGCGTTTGTATTCCCAGCCGGAGCATTTAAATGCACTACGGCTACGTGGAATTGAAAGCCCTCAAATTCCCTCCACACCTACCATCTTGGCTGCAACCCAACGTCTTCTCGACCACGGACAATTTCGTGCGCCTACTCATGCGCAAGGTCAAGGACGTTTTAATTATTATTCGCCGGAGTGTAGTGCGTGCATACCTGGACAATGAGCTTAGTGATCGGTGGATAGGTCGAGGAGGGCCAGTGCCTAGCCACCTAGAAGCCCGGACTTAACGCCCCTGGATTTTTTCTTATGGTCGGAAATAAAAAGACTTGTTAATACACGGGAATATGAAAGCCGTGATAATTTACGCATTGCGATAGTGGACGCTTTTGATAAAGTGAAAAGTGATAGAGACACATTAAGAAAATTAAAAAACAATTGCATTAAACGTGGACGTTTGTGTATTGAATGCAGCGGACTCCATTTTGAGCAGTTCCTGCGATACAGAGAACTGTAAATAGTGTAAATAGGTATGTAAGTTAATTATTCTGTAGATAGCTCCGATTTTTTAAATACGCCTGAAATATTTATACCTACAGTCCGTTGATAAATTGATTTGTTGTGAAAAGAACAATCGTGGTTAATAATTGTGACAAATTGGAGTCTATCTACGTAAGTACTCGCTAGCTCGCGCCTATAGGTATACTTTTGTCAGCTGCTGTGTTAGCGTCGGCGGTGCGCAGCGGCCGCCGAAACGCCCACGGACGTGTTTCATTCATATAAGATAATGAATGAACGATCAGTCCATTACTACTTTCCAAGTCGATCGAGTAAAAATGAATATTAAAACTGAAACTTTTTTTTAGACAACATTACAATTGATTTAATCATTTTTATTGGTACTATAGATGATTCCAAATTCAAATATTTCGTTTCCAAAACGCTTTCAAAATCACCGTGTATTTCCTGCTTTTATTAATTTTTTTTTTTTTATTAAGGCCTTTTTTTTTTGTTTTTTGGTCTAACCTAACCTAAAACACGTCATGGCGAAAATAATCGATGTTTAAGAAACATCGATGTATTTCTCAATACATCGTATTGCCATCGATGTGACCGATCGATGCATTACATCGAATAAAACATCGATGTATATTTTAAATGTCCATCTCTACAGCTGACGTACTTTTTTTATGGTGCTGCCAGCTTGCCCAGCTACTGTCTGTGTCTTTATTTTCTAAGTAACATAATATTACATATTTAATAATTTAATTAATATATTTTTATAAAAAAAAATTAATATTAAATTGAGTTTCTTTTATGTCGTACTGTAATTTTGTGTTGTTAATTGCTCCAGCTTTGCTCCTCTAAAGGTGGTTTTACACCGACGAGGCAACGCGTGAATAAGATGGGCGTGATTTGAAATTTGTATTATACCTCAACAGAATTCACTTTTAATTTTGTTTCTCTATATATCATTAGAAACTAAAACTGCCAGTTGGATTCAGGTCTTAACCTAAGAGCGATTACTTTCAGAGACGGATATAGACTTCCACTGGATGAAAAGGAAAAGCAATACAAATAAGTCATTCCATGAACAAGCAAGGACGGAATCTACATTTTAGATGGCAGTTCCAATTACACAGCTATTTCTGTATATAATTAGAAGAATTATTATTAAGAAACCGTACGTGTGAACATAACCGGACTACTAATAAATATTTTTAATTTTTGATAACTATTTCATGAAATAATTCCCATTTACACCACTTAATTTTAACTTGTCACGCTGCAGATACATCTACAGGTATATGAATGACTTTTGTTTCAAACTATTTTAGAATGATGAAATGATGAGAGCACATTGAAAACAAAACATTTGTTGAAAATGCAACAAACAATAAGAAATTAGTTAAAGAGGAGAGTGTAACACTAGAAAATGGTTGTTGCTAACAACTTGATATATTGCGTCTCTTGATGAGGTTATTTTACATATTTAAATACTCCCTTTAATACAGCACTGTGGTCAACTAGCAGGGTTTTTATACATCTTCTTTTCCACTGCAATGAGTGACTCGGGCTTTTAATAGCGCAAAAGTTTAAACAATTTTACATTATTAAAATAGTTTAACAATAGTAAAATTACAATTAAATTACAATTATTATACTACCATTATACAATGTTTAACGTAGTTTACGCTAAATGTAATATTATAGTAGTGTACGCTATACGTATTAGTTCATGTAATATTATAATGTGTGGTTTAGTAGTTGACAAATAAAAAGCTCGATACCGTTGATAGGAGTGGGAGACAGCAAAATTTCATAGACAAAAAATGGATTAAAAAATTTACTTGCCTGAAAGAGTTGTCATATAAAATAAAGTTCCTTGAATTACAGGACGTCTACACCTGTCTACACCGGTCTCAATCTCAACCTATAGGTTTCTTCTCATTTGATTTTACAATTCAATTTTTATTTAGAGATCGTCTGGTCAAGATCTATTAGCCCTGGTTCTACCCAATCTACCTGGCAGTGGCTTGACAGATTCATAGTCATTTTGGTTATTTCCTACCTTGCTATTCTAATTATAAACCATTTAACATTTTTCATCTTCGGAGGCCTATGTCCCGTCTTATGTATTTTTTTTAAATCTATCCTAAATTACTGTTACTTTATTTATTATATGCCCAAATGGCAAACCATAGCTGACCTTAATATTTTGCAACCATCTAATATACCAATAATCTACAATAAAATACTTTGACTTATGTATGTATTTCATACAGACAAAAATGCAGACAGACAAGCAAATGGTTCGATAATGATTCTTTTCGTTGCCTATTGAGAAGTAGAACTTAAAAAATACAAAACTCACTATCATGTTATCCTATTAAAATTCTCCTCGTGGCGAGATTTAATCACATTTTCAAGGAAAGTTCGTAATATTTGGGGTAAAAAGAAAACAAGAATTGATTTTTAGGGATAATTAAAACACCATAGATAATCTTTTGCCTTGTGATAGGTCACGTGACGGCACGTGAAGTAACATAGACAATTTATCCATTCGTCAGTTTTCGGGCGAAGAGGCAGCGCAGTTTGGTGTTTTATTGAGCGGACTGCCAAAAAGTGAAAACTCTAAAATGGCAAAGAGTCTATCTCTATCGCAAGCTACCAAGGAGCATGTCCTGGCTGTTAACCGGGACTTCATATCCCAGCCCCGTCTCAGTGAGTACCCCATAATTTGTTTCTTCAATTTCGGCTAACGTCATAGGTTGTCAATGAAAATATCGATTTTGCGTAGTTTTTTCATGTTCCGCCTGAATTTGTATATCTTAATATATAAAATAAAGAATATTAATCATATTATTTGCTTGTATTACGAATGATAAGTAAATCATAGGCCAACCTTGAGATAATTGTTAGCGTCCAGGAATTGAACTCCCCTTTGTGTGAAGTCCCATTACGACCTAATTTTATGCATCTAACATTAATTATAAACCAGAAGATGATTTTAGGCAAAGAAATACGATTCTTATAGGTTTTTTTTTTTGGCGAGTTCAAAACGTACATGACAGATTTTGTCAGCTGATCAGTTTTTTTTCATGTGATGTATGATATTATGATCACGTAAACCAAAAAAAATCCTAAACGAATAATATTTCTAGAAAGAGGTCACCTTATGAAGAACTTAAATAACTAACTTTCTGAAAAGAACTCATGACTTTAATTCAGTGTTAGTACATAGAGTAGGTAAGGTTCAATAAAGTTTAATATTTTTCATCTGTAAATCAAATCTGTTTTATGAAAATGTTAGTTAAAAAATTATTTTGTCCAGCTTATAATTTATCATAAAGTTACAACACAGTATAGTTACAGTACAGTGTACCAATTAGACTTCACACTGAAAAATATTAGCTTGCTGTAATTATCAGGATTTGTGTGTAACAGATATATATTTCTTGAAATTTATACTAGTAGATGGTATACTATTCCAAAATTGGTTTTGCAATAGTTAGCTAGGGATGAAATAAATCATGTCTATTTTACTTTCTACAAACTATAATTTTAAAGTTTGCATGACTACAACAGAATAACATCAAGTCTTGTAAGAATATAGTAGATATGTTTTTTTCATCTCACTATTGAGGTCAGAATGACAGTCAGCTGTTTGGTGTTGCCTAATGATGTAATAAAATTGTCTGTGGTACTATTAAAACTACTTACTAATTTATGGTCATTAAAAAGTCTTTTTTAAACAAAACTACAAAACTAAATTTGCATTTGATTTTAATTTTATTGGTAATGAGAAATTCTTTTAAATATTTAATAAATACTAGAAATAGCATATTTACAATAGTACCTATGCAATGGACTGCAAAGGTACTATTATAAATGTTTTCAAATATTTTTTTTTAATACTCTGACTTTTTATCAAGAACTTGTTTTTGCTCGTGACTCCGCCCACGTGTATGTTGGTTATCATGGTAAAAAAACTGTCCTTTAAGTGTCAAACTATCTCTATACTAAATTTCATCTGAATTAGTTCAGCGGTTATTGATTCCCCACACAAATTCCCGACCTTCTTTTCACTCCTTAAAGGATGATTTCTGGTATATAAACTATCGTGTGTCCTTTCTCGGGACTCAAACTATCTGTATGCCAAATTATATCTAATTTGGTTCAGCGGTTTAGATAACAGACACACTTTCGCATTAATAATATTAATATGGATTTGATTTACTTTTCATATTACTTGTCACACAAGTATTATATCAATGAACTTTATATCATCAACTTGTCATCTCTCCATAGAATTAAACATTATCTATACAAATAAATAAAATTTGTAGTGTCTGTTTGTAATGTCAAAATTATAGGTTTTTTTTCATGCTCACACTGTTATTTGCATTATACCTATGCCTAAAAACCAGTTTTTTATTCTTTGTCAGTCTGCCTGTCTGTTTGTTCTGGGTAATCTTCTAAACCGGCTGGACCGATTTCGATAATATTTTCGTAGCGCTTTTCAAATTCCATGCTAGTATAATATATAAATGTTATAATTGACATTATTTATTAGTTTCTATGTGGAATTTTAAAAACGCAATCTTATACTAAATCAATACATCACTATTATCTTATAAGATTAGATATAACATATTTTAGATAGATGTCAACCTTAAATTTTTTTTTGGTCTCTTGCTATTCTAATTATCTCTTAATATTATTTGGGCTTCCTGCTAATATTATAAGAACGAAAAGTTGACACAAACCCTATACCAACCCGGCTGGGCAGTGTGGTATAGTAGGCTAAAACCTCCATACTAAAGAGCGGCCTATGTCTAACAGTAGATTATTAAAGACTGTCAATGTGATGATGATCATTTGGGTTTGAGTGATTCTTATAAATATAAATTCTAATGTAAAATACCTCTCTAAAATACCCTGTAACCTAAAATGCCTCTATATTGCCTAAAGAAATTGGCAGTGTTGAATAATAACCTAACAACTCCTTCATAACTGCCTGCCTTGGCAACATTGTGAACCCTGAATTGCAGGCGTTCATGGGTTGCAGTAACCATTTTCCGTCCGTCCCATTTACTGGTTAAAGTCACCCTCTTTTCCATAAACAAAATTATAACCGCACAACATCAAGTTTACGTGCCTTTGAAATTAAGCTTATGGTTGCAGTCTACCACACTTGCTTAGGAACAATTTGTTAAATATAACTTTTGAAACATCTCAGTGTGTTGATGAACTTAACTAAATGTAGAATTTTATAATTAATCAATAATCAACGTTATTACCCATTAAAAAAATAATATGTATATTCAATCCACAACTCTCAAAATAGACACTCCATGACGTAGTCCTGTGTTTTTTTCTTGTGGCTTATTTTATATTTATTATATAACTAGCTGGTACCAGCGCTGCCTTAGTGCTGCTTAGTGCTGTAGTGCGACTGCAGTCCATGAGGCTTCGTTTCGATTGGGCAAAATTTTATAGGGTTTTTCTGAGAGGAAAAAACCCTAAGTTACTCCTTATTTAGTGAGCTATCTGGTAGTAAAATATTATCAAAATCGGGCCAGCGTTTTAAAGATTACCCGAAACGAACAGTCAAACAGTTAAAGAGATTTTTAGGCATAAAAAACCTATTATTTTGATATTACAAACATTCACTTTTATTCATTAGTATTGATTAAGACATCAATTATGTATTAGAGTTGTAGTGATATTGTCTTGTAAATAATGCAATTCTAATTTCCGTACAGCTTACAAGACAGTGTCTGGTGTGAATGGACCTCTTGTCATCTTGGATGAGGTCAAGTTCCCCAAGTTCTCTGAGATTGTACAGCTGAGGCTTGCAGATGGCACCCTCCGCTCAGGACAGGTAAGACATTTGAGTAGGTTTTCATATTAAAAACCTGCCGTAGGTCAAAAGGACAGACTATTCAGAGTTAAGACAAAAACAAACTCCATAGAAAACTTAGAGTACTGCATAGAGTACTTAGTAAGTTAATTAAGACTGTGACTGTGAATGATAAAGAATGCTAATAAATAAATGTTTTAAAATTAGATAAACCTAGTCAAGGTTGGTTACATTTTCCAAAGGACTTCGCTTCCAATTCATATTTTACAACCAATTTAAAAAAATATATAAATTGAATATGATTGACTATTACCGAATATATTGCTTAAATAGACACTTAAATGGTGAAGGTCTCCCTTTTTAATGTCAGTTATAATATAAGCTTCTATTTCAAACAGGAAATGCTACATCTTTTTTTAAATACTGACCCCCTTTTTTTTTTTGACCTACACATAACACTTCTTAAATTACACCCTGTTGTAACTTAAACCTGTGACGACTTTAAACGTGACACAAGCTAAATTATAATTCATTTTCTCCAGGTACTCGAGGTCAGCGGCTCCAAGGCCGTCGTCCAGGTATTCGAGGGTACGTCGGGTATCGATGCGAAAAACACTCTTTGTGAGTTCACCGGTGATATTTTGCGTACTCCCGTGTCGGAAGACATGTTGGGTGAGTTCAGTTCGCTCATTTCATAACTTTACTTTTTGATGTAAGTCAGGTAAAGGTCATATGTAGAGAGATGTCTTCTACGTGACGAATTTTACCAATTTGTTCATCTGTAAATGGATCATGTGTCGTATTTAGCCATTTATGCGCCCGGTTGGTACAAGATCCTGTAAATGTGCCCCATCAAAAGTATTTTCAAACGTCCACATCTGTACTCTCTTTTGATTATTTCTACGCCCAACCCCGGGTCTGCCTTCGGTTCACCACTGGCACTCCTCTAGTTGCACTGTTGACTGCGCGGATGGCGTAGTGGTTTAAGCGGTCGTCTCGCCGCGCTGAGTGTCGTGGGTTCGATCCCCGCATGGAACAACACTGTGTGATCCACAAATTGTTGTTCCGAGGCTGGGTGTTCTTTGTGTCCGTTTAATGAACGTTTGTAAAGTCCCCCGCGACACAGGAATATAATCTTAATGCGGGAGTTATCTTTTTCAGAAAAAAAACGAGAGAAAGAGTCTAAGTCTAATCTAGTAGTAGTTACGAAATTTCTTTCCATTTGAGTTTGATTAAATAGTTGCACCTTAAATTTTGCCACTACCTAATCTGCTTACATAATAACATTTCCATGATCTTAGGACGTGTATTCAACGGTTCCGGCAAACCCATCGACAAAGGTCCCCCAATCTTGGCCGAGGACTACTTGGACATCCAGGGTCAGCCCATCAACCCCTGGTCTCGTATCTATCCCGAGGAAATGATCCAGACTGGTAACTATATAATTATGTGATACTTAAAGGATAACTTATTCTTTGCCAAGTTTTATTCTCTTTTACTGCAGGTTTTGGTCATATTTGGTCATAGATTCCTCAGGAAAGAGAGACTTATGAATGAAAATAACTTCTTAAATTGATGATTCATAAAAGGCAGACGGTTTGAGTGATTTGGTAGAAGATAGGTGGTATATGACGATGTGTAAACCAACGAGATCAAAGACAGAAAAAATAAATTTGGTGTGACATCCCTTCTAGACAATTTTATAAAGGACAATAGTAATTAATATTTCTTGACTTCAAGTGGTGGCTACCGAGAGGTTCCATATTCAAACGGCGTAAGTGGGAGTGGATTAACTTGGAGGATGAGCTCACTTACATTCAATGTTTTAGCGGGAGAGATCAGTGGGCGAGAATGACTCGTGTATGATCATTATTTATATAAGAATTAAATAAGCTGTGTTTCTAAAGGTATCTCCGCTATTGACGTGATGAACTCCATCGCCCGTGGTCAGAAGATCCCCATCTTCTCTGCTGCTGGTTTACCCCACAACGAAATTGCTGCCCAGATTTGTAGGCAGGCCGGTCTTGTCAAGGTATGTCTAAATGTGGTATGGTTAAATCTTTGAATTAATAGTAATAAAGTACCACTTCTTATCGTTTGGGACATTGGTCCAGTGGCGCCATCTTAATATAAACACGCACGAACAGATATATAACTTATCGCGTTTAAAATAAACTGTGGTTCTTTCTCCTTTATAAATATTATCGACTGCCTCGGTGGCGCTGTGGTACGGTAAGCGACTTCTGTTCTTAGGTCTCGGCTTCGATTCCCGGGTTGGATCAAATATTTTTTTGCTCTGCAAACTTAGTTTCGGAGATTGGGTGTTTTCTATGTATAATATTTATGTATTTACAAAAAAAAAGGATATAAGTATTCTATCAGTCAATCTAGCTTTCATAGTAGAAGCTCTGCTTAGTTAGAAACAAGATGGCGTTGTGTTTTAGATGTCCGAAATATTATTATTATTATAAAACTCTATTTCACCAGATCCCCGGCAAATCAGTTCTCGATGATCATGAAGACAACTTCGCCATCGTGTTCGCCGCTATGGGTGTCAACATGGAGACTGCTCGTTTCTTCAAGCAGGACTTCGAAGAGAATGGTTCCATGGAGAATGTGTGCCTGTTCTTGAACTTGGCCAATGACCCCACCATTGAGAGAATTATCACACCCCGTTTGGCTCTTACAGCTGCCGAATTCTTGGCTTATCAGTGCGAGGTAAGTTATTAAAACTAAAGGCAATGGTGTCTATGTTCAGGATAGTCCATCCCAGGGATTCCCAAACTATTTTGGGCAAGAGATCCATTTTCTAAAATGAACGAAACCGTATTTTAAAAGTTTCAAATGAGAACTTGTGTTAATTTATAGGGATCGATTTTTAGACCTAGTCTACCCCCAAGTCAGTTTTAATTTATGTCGATCCCTGTAAAACCAATTTCGACCCCATCGGCCACTTATGGAATCTCTGGTCTAGGTCCTTCCAGGATAACTTATGTGCTTCTACTTCTAACATTCAGAATACTGTAATTATACAGTACTATTTAGTTAGTTTTGATTTCAAATGCTTATAAATACAAGGAATACCTCTTGCGAGTTCTAGAGGCTTGCATGCAATGCGGAAACGATATTATTGTTGATGTAGGGAAGTTGGACCGAAATGATATCTTAATTTTGTAATAACTAAATAGAAAACTAAATTTACATTTTTTTAAGTATAACGTTTGTTCTTCAGAAACACGTGTTGGTCATCTTGACTGACATGTCCTCGTACGCCGAGGCTCTGCGTGAGGTGTCCGCCGCCCGTGAGGAGGTACCCGGACGTCGTGGTTTCCCAGGTAATTATATACTGTAATAGCTAGTCCATTCCACCCACGCAAAACGATACATTTGAGAACATTTCAATATACACATTAGATATAGAAATAATAAGCAATCACTCTAAATTTGAACTTTCACCATACTAACGTACAGAAGGTTTACTTTTTGAAGATATGTAAGTAAAAAGCGACTTTCGTTACTAAGTAATTAAGTACTAATTACAAAATTTACAAGTTCTTTGACACTTAGTTGTTGCACACACACATTGCATGTTGGGGTGAAAAATGCGAAATTGAATTTTTGAGTTTGCTAAGCAGGAGGCTGTGGATTCGATTCCCACTCAGGATAAATAATTGTGGGTTGAGGTGTGATCGTTTGTTCTCTGGCTGCATGTTATTAGTCTATAATATTTGCAAGGCGTAAGGGACACTCATTTTTTTCATCATTTTTTTTTTCATTTTACTGGTTAAAAGTGATGAAAAATGATATCACAATGAGTAGACAAAAAACATTTTACCGATAACAATTTAAACACCCGAAGCGCGCGCGGTCTACCCTCCAGCCGCCATTTTGTATTAGTGTGCGTAGACTCTTTGCACGGAATACACATGTAGTTATTACTTTTGTGCAACACCTACGGGGAATGACGTTAACCTTTGACAGCTGATTGCATAAAAAGTTACTTTTCCAGCAGAAAATTTCAATGATTTTCGACGTCCCTTACACCATGTATGTGTTTAGAAATAAATAGTACGTTTAACAGCTCTGCCTAGTTTGAGACTATTATTAATTAGGTAACTTTCCTGGCGTAATTCAGTATCAGTAGCACAATAGGGTAGATTCCTAGGTTTAAAATAAATTATTTCGCCTGTATCATTAAATCTAACATCTCAAAGTAGAGGCTGAATTGTCCTCCATTGTCAATTTGTTTTTTTTATTCATTTGATATCTTGACATCAACGTTAAATATAAATGATTTGACAATAACTAGGTATGACGTCACGAAATAGTATCTCATACAAAAATGTACCGCGTCCAGCGTTTTGACATTTAAAAAAAGACACTGATTTGACTTTACAGTCATCTACCCTATTGTAGTTTAACTTGTCTTCTCTAGTACAAAATCAACTCAAAAAATGAATAGTCTTACCTCACACTTATTTCAGCTGTAGATATTAGAATTTCTGAAGTATATTCTGCTACTAGAAGTTTATCTTGTCCCCAGGTTACATGTACACGGATTTGGCCACAATCTACGAGCGCGCTGGACGTGTAGAGGGCAGGAACGGCTCCATCACTCAGATCCCCATTCTTACTATGCCTAACGACGATATCACTCACCCTATTCCTGATTTGACTGGTTATATTACTGAGGGACAGGTGAGGAACACTTTCTAATAATTAAGTTAACCGTAAATTTTCAATGCGAGTTTAAAGATGAGAATAGGAAACTCTGAGGACAACAAACATGGGAAATCCATGCTTAAGCACATACGGGTTGACTCGAACGGTGTAATACAGCAGCGTCACTGAATATCTGTGTTTAGCAATTTTTTTTGTTACTTTACCACACACTGAGTGAGTTTACCAGAGACAACTCTCTCTACCTCCCTAGGGATTCCGAAACTTTGTGTATTTATTGCAGAAACTTTAACGTTACTTTTCTTTCTTTTTTATTTTTTTTTTTGAAAAAGACAACTCCCGCATTAGGAATATATCCTGTGTCGCGGGGGACCTTACAAACATACATGAAACGGACACAAAGAACACCCAGACTCAGAACAACAATTTGTGGATCACACAAAGCGTCGTCCCATGTGGGGTTTGAACCCACAACACTCGGCGTAGTAGGAAGCGGCGTGGCGACCGCTTAACAGTGCAGTCAACTTTGGGTAGTGCTAAATAAAATTGATTGTTATTACATAATTACATACTTCAAAATGTCATCGAGTTTAGACCTGATACAAGTGATGTTTTCACACAGATCTATGTAGACCGTCAGCTCCACAACAGACAGATCTACCCACCGGTGAACGTGCTGCCATCTCTGTCACGTTTGATGAAGTCCGCCATCGGCGAGGGCATGACCCGCAAGGACCACTCCGACGTATCTAACCAGCTGGTGAGTACTTGACTTGAAGAGTTTTAAACCTATTAATAACGTTGTAGACTATAGTTAAACCAAGCTTGGCCCTCCTGATGGTTTGCGGGACGCGGGGCGGGTGATGCGCTTGGCTATACATGACACGATGTACTAACTCGATATCTTCAGATTTATTTGTTTGAGATTTAATCTACACACGATGTAATAAAAATCTAATTTATTTCCATGTATTATAATGTCAGTGTACCTATTGTAAGTTTTTATGATTAATTGTAAAATTTAATACTGTAAAATAATTTTAATAAAATCACCTTATCTTCATCATGTAAATTATATTCAGATACAATTTAAAAATTAAGTAAAATAATAAATATTCTTTATTAGAACTTTAACAGTAGAACCTCTTTAAGCCGAACTTCAAGATTTTAAATCTTTTTGTGACGCAGAGTCGGCAGATTATCCATGTTGCAAAATAATACCGTGTGTAGCAGTCTTAAGAAAAATAACACGTACACTGTACAGCCATGCTTTCACGTCAGTCACTGCCGGCGGACAGCGACGCACTAGCTAATTGGTTGAATGCATCCCCGCCCCGCGTCCCCCAAATCATCAGGAGGGCCAAGCTTGCGGCGGTTTAGCTATAGTAGTCAACATGTACTATAGAAACCAAGAGGTTACCATACCATGCTTCAGCAGAAATGGGCTGACTCATCTCTTCCGTCGAGCCTTTTCTTAAACTTGGGTCGGCTTTAAGTCTACAACGATACGGCTGAACTACGAGAGTGCTTCGAGGAATTGTTCGGACTAATACCAGCCGCAAATTACCTGGATAGTTGGCGCTCCACTACTGTGCGCTTTTCGAGACACTTTTTGCCTCGCACAACCAATCTGTGGAACGGATTATCGTCTGCGTTATTTCCAGACCGATACGATCTTCAAACCTTCAAGAAAAGAGCGTACTCCTTCCTAAAAGGCCGGCAACGCGTTTGTGACTTCTGAGTTGCAGACGTTCATGGGCGGCATTTTGCCACTGCCATGAGACCTCCACCAGACTTGGTATTAGACTATATCGAAGTACTGTAGAAAGTCTGTTTGTTTGACTTTTTAGGGCTCCAGCTATTCGTAACGACAGCTATAGATGTTCGTATAGCAACTGGGCAACAAATAGACGACTCTTACGAAGGGATATTAAGGCCTCACAGAAAAATAGTTCTAAGCAATGCTTTTATTTTCGTTCTTTCTTTTTTTTTATTAAAAAGACAACTCCCGAACTAGGAATATATCCTGTGTCGCAGGGAACTTTACAAACATACATGAAACGGACACAAACAATTTGTGGATCATACAAACCGTAGCCCCTACCACTACGCCATCTGTGCAGTAAATTATTGTTTGCATTGGTTGCAGTCTTTTATTAGTTTTCAACGAATGAGTGATTGTGTAACTGTGACTGCTTTAACCGGGTGTAACTGCTATTCTTAGAGTTACCACTATGTGTTAAACGAACACCAAGGTTTCGTGTTATGTTGCATCATTGCCATGTATGTGACAATGGCTGGCAAACATTTCTTTTTAAAGACGCGTTAGAAATATATCCTGTGTCGCGGGGGACTTTACAAATATATATGTAGCAGTCACAAAGAACACCCAGACTTAGAACAACAATTTGTGGATCACATAATATTATTGTCTTTTTTTTTCAATAAACTAAAAAACCGTTTTCCCCGCAGTACGCTTGCTACGCCATCGGTAAGGACGTGCAGGCGATGAAGGCCGTCGTCGGTGAGGAGGCTCTGACGCCCGACGATCTCCTCTACTTGGAGTTCCTCACCAAGTTCGAGAAGAACTTCATCTCGCAGGTATGTCCATATCTACCCTGCCTTATAAGCCACAGTAGATACATAGATACATTGCACTTTCCACACTGAGAAAAACATAAAAAATTTCAATGTGCTATATTTAAATCAGTTCTATAACTGCAAGATTATTCTGACAATTTAATGGACAGTGTTAACCAATATCTTTATCATTATATCAGTTTAAATATTATAAACCGCTGTGACACTTTTTACATAATACATTGTTCTTGTATTTTCTCTGATAAACGAACTGATAAACTGATTAAACCATAAACATAATAGGTATCTTATGTCTCAATTAAGTTTATGCCGAAGTTTGCAATGATTGCCTACTTAAATACAATTGAAAACCGCTTGGGGTGTAAAAGACTATATTCATAAATAATTTCTTCACAGGGCAACTACGAAAACCGCACAGTCTTCGAGTCCCTTGACATCGGTTGGCAGCTCCTCCGTATCTTCCCCAAGGAGATGTTGAAACGTATCCCAGCGTCCATCCTGGCCGAGTTCTACCCCAGAGACTCCCGCCATTAAGAGCCAACATCAACTTCCCAGTGGTCACACTTGTAACTTTGACGGAACAACTGTCGTTGAGATTATTTATTCAGAAGTATTATACTTACACGTGGTCTGTAATCGTTTGAGGGTTGTACTATATCGGGCTGACCACATAATGTTCACGGTTAAAAGTTAAAGTGCGTACTACAATATCTTGTAAGATAAAAATACTATTTAATAGTAAGTTGTTAATAGTCTATTATATAATGTGTATTACATACATGTATTGTGATCATGTGCAAAATTATATAAACAAGTTATTGCTATCGTAAGTTACAGCCGTCTCGCTGACGTAATGAAAACCGTCTGTCTGTATATAATTTCCCCAAAAACATATACTAATGTACTGAACAATTAAATTATTATATTTTTGAATTAATGCAAAAAAAAATCTTTTATTTTTGGTGCTTCGGTCAAACTTTAAACATAATATTTGTGTGCACAAATGTTGAAATGTGTTCCAATTATATATAAAGAATTAAATCTGTTGTACATCAAGTTATGTTGCTAATTATGTGATATCGCTTCAATTAATGGTATGAAACACATTTCTGTAAAGTAATAGTCCAGTAACACAGGTGTTACATTCCAAAATTGTGTTGTCCTTGTTCACTGTTAAAGCTAGATTCTGTATTCAGCAGAGGTGAATTAGGATACTGTTGTTTTCAATGGAAATAAAAATATAGAAAGTTTAATGCTTCTTTTATTTATATATCATACTTTGAACGAGCAGCAGCATATATCACATTATTATTTGCCTGTTATAGATAATATAATAAGATAAGAATACATAATAAGAGATGGGAATAATAAGAGGAATAATGCCCAGTCAATGCAAATAATAATTGAGGAATAATGTCCTGAATTGCAGACGTTCATTGTCGGCGATAGTCACTTTCTTGTCTGCTCATCTGCCCCCTCTAACATAAAAAACCGGTGTCACCGTAAACCAATAGTTTCATGAAAAACGTATTGATTTATGTGTACTTTGCCGATGCTAGTAAAGCACAAATTGATAAAAAATCATATGAGTACACCTAAACCTTTCACTCGCCGTGAGTCACAACCCATTGGTGAAAATCCGAGTGGTTAGCGGACAATCACCCAGACACGCGCGGCAGGGAACTGTAGTGAAATTCTCGATTACTTCATATAATACTTTTATTGATACTACATCAATCTTATCGAAATCAAACTAGTCATTTAAAAGCAGTTGTTGTAATAGTACAACAACAACAAAAAGAGGGAGCACCATAGGGTGCTCCCTCTTTTTTTGCGTCAATGCAAGCAAGGGTGCAAAACAATGGTTACATTCAAACTTTTTTTGTGTCAATAATTAAAAATGTAGTAAATATATGGTCACAAAAACAGAGATAGCTTCTTGAAAATAAGTGATGTATATGCTTTAAAGGTTTATTCCACTATGTTCACCTGGGTGATATCACCCGGGTGAATAAAGTAGATTTTTCTTCCTTGAAATGTCCCCATTTCACCTTGGAAGAATTTCACCAGGAAACGGGCAGTTGTAGTTGTAGGGCACATGCATACTTAATAAATTTTCGATACGTATATATTTATTTTGCTAAATATTTGACAAAACAGAGTTTGTTGCTATTGTGCGTGTTGCTATGACTAAAGAGTCTACATACGAGACGATTTAAAACAATTTAAAAAAAGTGAAATAAAGCTATTTTGAGTTTGTGATTGGCCGAATGTTTAATTTGTTGTCACGTCGCACAGAAGTGCAGGGATTTACCTATCAGTTGCCTCTCTCTTTTTATCGCGTAGCTCTGACGGCGTTTGCGATATCCTTCGCAAGTGTGAAAAACGTGACTTTCGCATCCTTGTTGTTATTTCAGCTGGCCAATACGATGGCATATTTTAGGTCATTGTTTAAAGCCTTTAAGTAGCATTGAATGTATGTGTTTATGGCGTGTATTATTTGAACGTGATTTAGAAGCCTGTTATTAGAACATATCAGGAATCGGAATCTAATTCTTACGGCACAATGGTATCGGGTCCTTTCCGGCAGCCCCGAATCTTGGTACTATTTTTTCGAACCTTGGCACAAACTTAATAATAGCGCCTCATCTCTAGTGTTTGAGGTAAATAACTTAAAAAACTCACAAATTTATTAAGATGGTTGGCATTTTTCGTGATTGGAAGGTAACAATATATTGTTTTTTTTCCTTTTAAACCGTATTATATTATGATTTTGCGCCCCCTGAAACTGTTGCACGGGGCGGGTGCCCCCTCTCTAGATCCGAGGCTGATTTCCGGCATTACCAACCTTGTCGGTATCTAAAAAGATATTTTTCAGTATTGTTTATATAAAATACACATTGGTTTATTGTCTTTGTTCTTATAATTAAATCAGGGCCTTTGTCTATCAGTGGTTACCTATCATTTTTTATCAACCACTATTTATAATTATGTAAGCGTCGAACATAAAAAGAAATTACATAATTTTCAAGATTTCTTTAACTTAAGAGCTAAGAGCATGCCCGTGCCTAACGCCACAGAGTACTGTGGTAATGCTTAGTTTAGATTTGTGGCGTGTATGCAACGCGAGTAAACTCCCACGGGGTTTGGTACACTGCGACTATCATCTAAAATTAATACTTTGTTTAACTAAGAAGAAAAATTTGGGGACACCCTTACTTTAATCCATAGATAATATACAATGTGTCTCGGTTCGGACTGTACAAACTTTAGGGGGTGATAGTTTGCTCTATTTTATCACTAAAATCATTCTACAGGTGGGGTCTAAACCCAACGGCCTCTGAATGGCAGCCATTTTTGTATTTTGGTTGACTTTTTCGTAGCGTCCATACTAAAAGTTATGTAACTTTGGAGTTTAATGTCCGATTATCGTAAAACAAAAACTTCCCATAACGGAAAAGTATTAGCAATCAGATAAATAACTCAAATAATTTTAATAATTGCTGTATCATATTGAAATGAATGCTAAAAGATCAACTTTACGTCAAAATTAACATTGTTTTTTAGTATTTCAAGGCTATTAAAAAAAATACCCCTGTGAACTATCTCTTATTATGCATGTGTCTTACAGATGGTAAGCTTACCTAAATAATGATACCAAAAACTCGATTTTATGACAATTGGTTTAAAAAATATTGTTGTTGGAACATAGGCTTGTGCATGTAGTGAATTCATAACGATGTGGTTTTTTCTTTAGATATTTAAAGTGATTAGCAAAGATAAACAAAATAACAAGTATTAATTATTTAATAACAAATGTACATTTACAATAATTGTTGTCAAAATTGTCAAAATGTCCCCCAGCACTTTGAAGGCACGCAGTAGCCCGGATCGCTATCTGCTGTGTTGACCGTCTCAACTGGTTCGGATTATCTTTAATTTCGGCAGCAGCGAATACGCTCCAGCAACTCTTTTCTGGTGTTGACTGGCTCAAAATAAACTTTATGTTTCATCCAACCCCAGGGATAAAAGTCCAGTGGCGTTAAGTATGGCGAACGCGGTGGCCAGGCTACAGGACCGCCGCGGCCAATCCACTGTGGATGATATTGGTCTAGGTGTGCCCTTACCGCTCGGGCAAAGTGTGGAGGAGCTCCATCTAACTGAAGCCACATGCGTCGCCGATATGACAATGGTAATTCTAATAACGCTTCAGAAAATTAATTGGTCAGAAACTCTAAAAATCTTGGGCCATTTAAATTTCTTGGGAGTACGATGGGGCCAATCAATTGATCATCGATCATAGCTGCTTACACATTAACAGAAAATTCATGCTGAAATGTTGATGTTCTAACAGCATGTGGATTTTCAGCCATCCACAAGTGTAGATTGCGGTGCTCATTCATATCTTACGCACGGAAGGGCTGCGTTCGAGCAACAATATCTCTTACACCAGTTGTCATAGCATCGAGTTTTTGGTATCATTATTTAGGTCAGCTTACCATCTCTGAGACACATGCATAATAAGAGATAGTTCACAGGGGTATTTTTTGTAATAGTCTTGAAATACTAAAAAACAATGTTAATTTTGACGTAAAGTTGATCTTTTAGCATTCATTTTAATATGATACAGCAATTATTAAAATTATTTGAGTTATTTATCTGATTGCTAATACTTTTCCGTTATGGGAAGTTTTTGTTTTACGATAATCGGACATTAAACTCCAAAGTTACATAACTTTTAGTATGGACGCTACGAAAAAGTCAACCAAAATACAAAAATGGCTGCCATTCAGAGGCCGTTGGGTTTAGACCCCACCTGTAGAATGATTTTAGTGATAAAATAGAGCAAACTATCACCCCCTAAAGTTTGTACAGTCCGAACCGAGACACATTGTATAAATCAAGTACATATTAAACCGGTCTTTTCGGTTTCGCCCCCTTTCTGCCTTTGTCGCTCAATGTAACGCCCAGAGTAATGCTTAGAGATTTGCCCTCTTTTTAGAAATTGCTACTTTTAATCTTTTTTTGGCCATTGTTTGTATAAGAAAAATATATTTGCCCTATTTAAAAAATCACCATTTCTTAAAAAACTAATTTTATAAAAAGAAACATGGCTTAAACGTTAGTTATGCTTATGCAAATTTCATCTTCGTGAGTCTTGACAAGCATTCTATGTTGATTATGTTCGTTATAAGACAATAATCCTTTTAAACAATTGAACAACAACAACCAAATATTTTGCACAAAAAATAAGGTCGTCTTGTTAAAATAGGGGACAAACTCATATCACCATCATCAACAGCCTTTAATAGTCCACTGCTAACCATAAGCCTCTCCTTAGAATTGAGGTTTTGGCCTACTATACCACGCTGGCCAGACGGGTCTGTATAGGGATTGTGTCAAGTTTTTTTCCCTTAGTCGGCTCTTACGACACCCACGGGATGAATAGGGGCGGTGACACTCTGTATTCTTAATCCGTCACCACACTCTTTAATGGTCAAAAATTGAATAAAAAGTCTGCAAAAGTAAAAACGGGGCAAATCTCTACGAATTACTCAGGGCGTTACATTTAGGGACAAAGGCAGAAAGGGGATAAAATCGAACAAACCGTTAAACCATGTCTCAAGGAAGAAACTAAAAGCAAAGATTCTGCTTGGTAGACAGGGCAGGAGTCTGCTTCTATGTTGCTGTATGTAAAGTTTGTAAATTAAATATCATTAGGTTTGTTTAATTAACGTTTATTTGTATTAATTCAGAATACTATGTACATGCTTTGTGTAGCCATGTAGATATTAGATCTTAGACACTGGAATGAAGTCATTTATTTCTACAAATAGATACATAGGTCCAGGGATACATCAATTTCACCGGATGAATAAATACTAATATAAAGAATACTCCAGCTTACACTTATGCTTGATCAATCGCGTATTTATTAAAAAGGCGTAGTAAAATTGTACATTTCTTGCATTAAACAACATCCCACTGAGAACTTAGACAAGAATTTTGTAACAATAATGCAATTTTAATTACTGCCTATAAAATATTAACCAGCTATTCCGGCGATGGCTTCGGAAGCAAAGTATTTGACATCTACGTCAGGATCTACATTCAGTTTCTCGAGGACAGGTTTCACTTGCGGCTGGATGACAGCTGCGTCTAAGAATGGTGCCATTTTCTGTAGAGTTTTGGCAACATTGAATCTCACGTTGGCAACATTATCATCAGCCATAGACAACACAGTAGGGAGAAGCACTCTGGTAGTGATATCTTTGCCACAAACTTCAGAGAGAACGTTAATGCAGAATAAATAAGTCATTCGGTGTAGATAGTTTTGTTCTCGGGACATGGCTAGTACTTTAGGAATAACATTAGTTTCAGCCCACTGTGAGCCGTATTGTTCGACAAGTTTCTTTAGGTTAAGGGTTGCGGCTTCCCTGATGGCGTAGACGTGATCTATCAACCAAGACATGCATAGACCGGTCAGTTTTTCGTCGAAGAATTCTTGTCCAAGTTGACCAGCGAGTAGAGGCATGTGTTCGATGATGGCAAGACGGACACGCCATTTGGTGTCCTCAGCTAACTCCACGATCGCGGGAAGGAGAGATTGCACTAGTTGTTGTATTCCGATCACTTCATTGACGCATTCCAAGTTTGAGATAATGTTGAGCCTGACTTCTGGGCATTCGTCTTTGAGTTGGGTGAGGAATAATGGCAGGAGATGTTCTACTGTGTTCTGGCGTCCTACGATGGGGCTCAGTCCCATGATGACGGACGCGAGGGCTGATTTCACGTGTTGGTTGGCATCACACACCAGGTCCTTGATTTGGGGTAATATCATTGTCATAATTATGTGTTCCTGGTGTGCCTTGTCTAAGTTCATGCAGAAGTCCTTCACCTGAAAACGTTAAAACGTATTTACAATTTCTTACATACTCTCTCATTATATTTTGACAAATTAGAATAAAAAGCTGTCTAATGCCGGCCTCTTTGTTGCTTTTTGAAGTCTTAAACAAAATATTAAGATTAAACAAACGATTTTCCAAGACAAGACTTCTGACAAGATTTTATTGTTAAATGCAGTAGAACTCCAATTATCCGAATTAATGGGGACCGGGACCCATTCGGATAATCAAATATTCGGATAATCGGATTTAAAAAAAAAAAATTGCCATTGGAGAGAATAAAAGCTACGTTTTGATATTGCACTATTTTTTTATTGAATTAAATGAAAGAAACATGAAATTTTCACATGTTTTAAATATAAATAAAATGTACTTATGTACAAGTTTAGAAATAAAAATCATTGTTTTTTAAACATCTCCGTCAATGTAAGCTGTTTTGCGGTCTTCAACCGTTTTCGGGCAGCCAGGTCACGCATTCGCTTGACGGTGAGCAGTTGCAAGTGGTCACACTCGGGCTGACGCTCCATCCACTTCAAAGCAGTCTCGAGGCCGGCAAATGCTTCACTAGCTGATGGTCCAGCGTCTACTTCAACATCAGCAGAAAGTTCTTCTTCCACTTCCACTTCAACATCTTCTCTCACACTTACAACAATTTCATCGTCATTGAGAATTTGAAAACCAGGGTCAGACGTGTCACAAGCCATCCACTCTCCTACATCTTCAGCACTTACTTCTGTACAACCAGGAATTTTTACAATCATTTTTCTTATTTCCTCTAGTGACAACGCATCTTTATCATCATCATCCTCTCCATATTCTTGTTTCTCATTTTCTTCAGATTCTTTTTTTTTGTTCTTCTCAGACGGTAGGCCTTTCAGTTTATTCCACGCACGTCTTAGCGTCACTGCCGTAACCAAACTCCAAGCTTCCGCTACCATGTAACAGCAGTCCTTTAAATTTATTTTGCTATGATTTGCCAAAACCAATTCTTCATCTTCAGCACCTTCGATCAGCAGTTTTCTCAGCAGTTGCCTTCTGTAATGGTGCTTCATTGTTTCAATAACAGACTGGTCCATGGGTTGCAGCAAACTTGTAACATTGGAAGGCAAAAACGTCGTTTTAAACTGCCCATTCTCTCTTTCCAACAGTTCTGCTGTAGGATGAGTGGGTGCGTTATCAACAATTAAAAGCACCTTACTTCCTTTTTTGCCCACCGATTTTTGGTCCTTTTTACTTCAGGAATAAACACTTCATCATACCATTCGGTAAACAAAGCTGCAGTCATCCAGGCCTTGGGTTGACTTTTGTAGAAGAGTGGAAGTTTTTTTACGTTTTTAAATGCTCTTGGATTTCTTGATTTTCCTATCAAAAGAAGTGGCAGTTTATGATTTCCAGTGGAGTTGGCACAGTTAAGCACTGTAACACGTTCTTTACTGACCTTATGTCCAGGGGCACTAGATTCCCTTTTAGAAGCCAAAGTGGTTTTTGGTAATGCTTTCCAAACAAGGCCAGTTTCATCGGCATGATAAACAAACTCCGGATCATAGGATTCTGATGCAGTTTTAAATTTTTCAATCAAATTTTCAGCAGCTGCAGAGTCTGCTGAAAGCTTCTCACCAGCCAAATCTAACTCGCGTACACCATGCCTGAATTTAAAATTCCTTAGCCAGCCGTTACTAGCCTTAAAAGATGAATAACCAAGCTTTACAGCTAAGATTTTGGCTTTTTCACAAAGGATTGGACCTGAAATCGGATTTCCCATAGAACGTTGCTGCAAAAACCATTTAAACACGGCATCTTCCAAATTTTTGTTGGTTGCTGTCTTCATTGTTTTCCTGGAGGAACTTCCATCTTCATTTTCAAGCACCGAAACAAAGTTTAAAAGTGTTGACTTACTGTTTTTAATGTCAGAAATTGTTGCTTGTCCAACACCATAAATCTCAGACAACTTCTTACCCGTTACACCTTTATCGAGTTGCTCTATAATTTTCAGTTTGTCCGCTAACGATAGCACAACACGTTTTCTTTTCGAAGCCATGGTATAAAAACAATACAGTATTGTACACGCACAAACAAAAGTAAGCCGTAGCGAAAGAGTAGCGTCCTCGAGCAAGCACACTGGCTAATCAAAACAAACAATGACAGGTGCGCCGTGACTGCAATGCGCCGGAACTTGTCTTAACTTGCCGTTGTACCTACACACGCGGGGGGAAGTCAGTGTAGGCACAACGGCAAGTTAAGACAAATCAAGTCAAGACTTGACGCGCAAACACTGGCTTCGCGGGGGGAAGAATAATAGCGCACTTAGACTTTTTTTGGACAATTTTTTGTGATTCGGATAATCGGCGATTCGGATAGTCGGAGTTCGGATAATTGGAGTTCTACTGTGCTTAAAATCTAGTAAGATTATGGCTACCAGCGCGTTATCTTTAGGATAGAAGTATTACCCCGATAACCATCATTAGAAGTACTGGTTCTAGATTTATATACTATACTGGATGTACTAGAATTTTTCTCAACCCCTTCAAATATGTTATATGTATTAAATAGCGGGTTTATCATTATTGTCAGTTTACTCTGTGGGGATTCGTACCCACAAGCACTAGTTTGCTCCTCCAAGTTCTTAGACTATATGCTACTGGTTTAAATGACCAAGACAAAGTTTAGTTGACAATAACTTCTCAGAGGAGTAGCATTTATTTATTCTTTATTGTACACACTGAACACATACATATATATAAGTAACAAGGAAATGTCATGTACAAAAGTGAGCTTAACCCAAAATGAGTTTTCTTCCAGCAAACCTTGAGCGAATAGAGGACAACAGAGAAACATAAGGGCACAGTCATGCGTACGTAGGAATCAACACAGAAAAGCATAAAAATTAAACAAATACCGACATAAATTAGGATAGCAAAATATATTATATATATATATATATATATATATATACACATACATACATACATACCAAGGGTCTGATTATTGAAGGGACAAATAATAATAGCATTTACTTATATTTGATAAACAAATACTTGTTATTAACAGGAGAAAGTTACCTTGCCAGCGGCTGCGGCTCGCACTTCAGCCTCGGGATCTTTCAGCAGAGCTTGGAATATCTGTGCCAAGTCAGAGCGTGCTAATTCAGGGCCGACTACTTGCTGCAGTTCTACGAATCTGAAGGAAACAACATGATTACTTGTTAAATGTTTATGTTCTAAGAAGGCAAATGAGTAGAGACCTGATGTTAAGTGACAACCGCCGTTCATGGACAACTGAGGAGTTCAAAGTGCGTTGGGCTCATTCGCGAGTTCTCCCTCCAGAATCAGGGGGAAAAGCGATTTGGGCCCCGGTAACCCCAGTAAGCAAAATTCTTGTTAACAATAGTTGTGAAGCATGGCTCTTTGGCAAATTAATTGTAGTTTGTTTGTTATTAAAGTAACTACCGATCAATTTCTTTAGTGACAGTGATTGTTAAGGTATTGGATAGTGTGCTTGACTCGGAACTGGAGAAACACCTGAGTATTACAATCATCAACAGCCTTTATGGACTACTGGACATAGGCCTCTCCTAACGAAGGAGGTTTTGGCCCACTATATCACGCTGGCCAGGCAGGTGGCTTTCCTTCTCGTTGCAATGCTGTTGTTCTGTGTAGTTTGCTCCATTAGTCGGCTCTTAAGAAAACCCATGAGATGAATAGGGGTGGTGACTCCGTATTCTTAATCTGACATAAACCTAAGTATACATTATGCACATTTAGGGGATTCCACCTGGACTTATTGTGCAATACTATGCAGAGAGAGGTACACCTGTGAATGCATGCTTTCTCGACCTATCTTAAAGGCATTTTACCTCATGTTATGGGAAAAGATCAAGAGAACTGGTGTGCAAACAAAGGTTCAAAAGTTATTTCATTTCAAACAACTGCATAGATGGTGTAGTGGTTTAAGCGCCACCTCGCCGTTTTCTACTGCACTGAGTGTGAGGTCGATCTCCACATGGGATAACACACTGTGTTCACAAATTGTTGTTCGTTTTACACACATTATATGTTGTACAGTCCCTTGCAATGCAGGATAATTATATTCCTAGTGCGGGAGTTGTTTTTTTAAAAACATTTTGTATCACACTTTTATAATAATAATAATATTTTCGGACATTTATACTATATATACATACAACTATACACGGTGATTTTGAAAGCGTTTTGGAAAAGAAAATTTTGAGTTATTTATCAGTAACAGAAGCTATATATAACGTTAATTTAATAAAATATATTTTTTTTTATCATCAAAGTCGATATTCATATCGTTTACAGAGAAAAAGTCAGAACCAGTAGTAGTAGGCTATTCAATCACACGTAGGTAAATACTACGAATAGAAATACTATGCGTTTTAATATCGAGTCACATCAAATCGTATTCGCCAATAAAAACAAAGCTACCGAGTTGCGCCGGAGTCGTCCAACCAATGACGTCTGCCCCGTAGGCGCATGCGCGGGGCTCACCTGTCATCGTCAGTCGGTCAGTAATACCATAACATCGTGACGGCACGCTGCATTGATTAGCGCTAAAATGAGTGGACAGTACGAATTTTCAAACGTGGAATACTTCTTGGCAATGGTACAGCTGTACGCTACTGCCAACTACAACTTGGAAGAGGCTCGGCGTTTGTATTCCCAAGCCGGAGCATTTAAATGCACTACGGCTACGTGGAATTGAAAGCCCTCAAATTCCCTCCACACCTACCATCTTGGCTGCAACCCAACGTCTTCTCGACCACGGACAATTTCGTGCGCCTACTCATGCGCAAGGTCAAGGACGTTTTAATTATTATTCGCCGGAGTGTAGTGCGTGCATACCTGGACAATGAGCTTAGTGATCGGACTTAACGCCCCTGGATTTTTTCTTATGGTCGGAAATAAAAAGACTTGTTAATACACGATAGTGGATAGTGCGATAGTGGACGCTTTAAAGTGAAAAGTGATAGAGACACATTAAGAAAATTAAAAAACAATTGCATTAAACGTGGACGTTTGTGTATTGAATGCAGCGGACTCCACTTTGAGCAGTTCCTTCGATACATAGAACTGTAAATAGTGTAAATAGGTATGTAAGTTAATTATTCTGTAGATAGCTCCGATTTTTTAAATACGCCTGAAATATTTATACCTACAGTCCGTTGATAAATTGATTTGTTGTGAAAAGAACAATCGTGGTTAATAATCGAAAAGAAGTTTAAATAAAATAGGTATTTCTGACGGTCCTAAGCCCGTGTAAAGTATGAAGGACAAATTGGAGTCTATCTACGTAAGTACTCGCTAGCTCGCGCCTATAGGTATAGTTTTGTCAGCTGCTGTTAGCGTCGGCGGTGCGCAGCGGCCGCCGAAACGCCCACGGACGTGTTTCATTCATATAAGATAATGAATGAACGATCAGTCCATTACTACTTTCCAAGTCGATCGAGTAAAAATGAATATTAAAACTGAAACTTTTTTTTAGACAACATTACAATTGATTTTATCATTTTTATTGGTACTATAGATGATTCCAAATTCAAATATTTCGTTTCCAAAACGCTTTCAAAATCACCGTGTATATACAACAAGGCAGCTAGTGCGTGTGATATCAAACAATGTTCTGTAAGAGAGGCAAAAATCAAAATACTTAAGTGGCTCACCTCTCTATCCTACGACTCAACAGAGAGTATTTTGTTACCCTTATTGTAATACATATATTATGTACACACTTATATACACCTATCTTATTTACTTTATATGTTGAAATTAATCATTGATTATGTATACATGTGTATGTGTGTGTGTGTGTATGTATGTATATGTATGTATATATATATATATGTGTGTATATGTGTATGTATATGTATGTGTATATGTATGTGTATGTATATATGTGTGTGTGTCTGTGTGTATATGTATGTATATATAAATTAATCCACATCATCAAATCTTAAAATGAACATACATAGAACCTTATATACTTACTCATAACGCACGTTTGCTTTGTATAAATATCTATTTGTATTTACCAAACAATAATTAACTTAGCATGTAGTTAATAAAATTGTTTTAATGTAAGCTTAATCTAAATGTTGAACCTCTGATAAAATGTTGTCCGAGCTAACAATGGAAAATTAAATGTGTAAACTGAATTGGGTACCCACAGGACAGGCTTGCCTAGTGTGGGGCCACAGGACACTGTTGTCACGTTGTATTTCTTATATGGTAATAAACATTTTTTATTTATTATTTTATTTGACACATGACGCTATCTGGTTTCAAACTAAGCAAAGCTTGTACTATGAAAGCTAGATTGACTGAATATTTACATACCTTTTTTTCTAAATAGATACGTAATATATAATGAAAAACAAATATACCAGACTCCGACACAAATATTTGCAGATCATAGAAACATTTGATCCGACCCGGGAATCGAACCCGCGAGCTCAGCACAACAGTCTCATATAGGGTGGGGTGTGAGGGTGAGAGGATAGCTGCACGTACTTGTCGGCGACCATGTAGCGCACGCGCCAGGAGGTGTCCCCGGCGCGCGCGCGCACGGTGGGCATGACGAGCTGCTCCATGTCCTCGGGCGGCAGCAGCGCCGCCACGCACGCGCACGCCTCCGCCGCCAGCAGCCGCACCGAGTCCTGCTCGTCCTGCGCACACATCAAATAATGAACAACACAAAATGACAAATGGGATTGAACGTAATTTATAAGGCTAAGGGACCCTGCTGGTTCCTTTTCTTTTGAAAAACTTGTTTCATTCCATTTACTTCTGTAACTTAACTGGTATTGTAGGGACTTTAGTATCATAACAGAGCAAAATATATACTGGACCCTTATATAGAATTATGTAGTTTTTACATAATTTTAAAATTTATGGCACATATTACTTAAAAATTGTAGATTCCTGATCTTTTCTACATATACTCAATGCTTCATTATATATTTCAAGCATGATATACTTTTACACGCCATTTCTGTTAAAAAAGGAGTCAAATAATTTTATTCATGTATTAATATATACATATATATCAGAAAAAACATCTAATTGATTTCCATAACACTTTATGATAAACTTGAAGTTCAGTATAACTAGCAATAATTTTAAATATTCACAACACTTTTAATCCTATTATGGATTACCATAAATTTTACAAATGATGAACCCAGTGAATCAACACTATAGGAAGGAAAATACCTTAATGCATTAAACACAATCTAACTGAGAAAAACCAACATACCATACATGAAACAGCCTATGGGTAACACTAATTACTACTTTGAAGCATATAATAAACACATCTTAACCTGAACGAGATCCCACAAACACCACACCTGAATGGAAATGTTTACCCACAGCCCACCACCATCACAATTGAATAGTAACTCTTGGACTATTGTACACTCGTGCAGTATGGAATTTAGAGTATCTTAAAAGGATATTAAAATAAACAATCCCTTTGTTATAAAACTTCTGAATTGCACAATAGATTATTTCATTCTGTTAGTCATTTTATAAACAGAAAATAAAAAAATCATAGTCAGCATAAAGTATGAAGTAATCAACTAAGATTACATGTTTCAATGATATATATGAATTTCTTGTCGAAATAATTGTATTGTTTAAGTACTGGGTTCATTGATGAATTGTTTTTTTTTTTACTATTTTTGCTAGGGTATTAAATAGCGTCGGGGCACCAGGGACTTCCTTTCTATGGTATACCTGGTTCCCCGGCTATTAGTACCCGAGACGGCGTGCGGTTTTAGTCGGTTCGAGTCCGACATGCCACCGACAGGTGGTATCCGAGGGGATTTCCGCACGGAAAAAAAAAAAAGGGTATTAAATGGCGACAACATATAAGCAATTTAATGTATACTGCTATACAGTATAGTATAGTATTTTGAAATAAATAAATAGATCAGAAAACAAGTCTACATAAATTAAAAAACCGAATGCTAAGAGACAATTTAAAGGTAATAATACACTAAAAAGACCGACGAAGCAGCACGAGGTTTGACACAAACATGGTCAACTTTTACGCTATCAAAAACCTTTTTAAACCAATTTATTGTTCTTTTAATTTTCTTGATTTTGATACCCTACTCGATAGGTTTGGTTTTTTTTATTAATCTATAACATTTACGCCAATAAACCGCCATTTTGTTTTTTTTTCTTTCAAAAAGCTATCTCAGGACACTTAGGTTTTTGAGACGGATAAAACAATACCTTAACTATGGAAATCCTTTCAGCCATGATGAAGATACGAGGTAATAAAGAAATTTACAAACAAACATACAAGATACTCTCAAAATAGAACTTTTATTTGCCAAAAAAATCTTACCAAGGTTGATGGCGATAACTACGTGCTTTCTGTATATGTGTTTAATGGCCTAAGTGCTAGACTCTACAACAAAGCCCACAAACAATTAAATATTTACGCATTGACTAAGAGTGAGGTAAAAAAAAAACTTATTACCTGGCTACAGACGTTAACATATAGTGATACCGAGGAGCTTCTAACCACTTTACAGTAGAATGAGATTTTTACACACACACACACACACGCACATACCACACACAGATAGACACTTCTTGTTTTGTTTTATTTTAATTCTTTAATAACATAAGTACTTTGTTCGCCCACTGCATGTACCAAAATTTTATTTTTGTAACCGATATAAGACATTATAAATGGATACTCTTACCTAAGATACAGACAGGTTCCCTGCCTAGTTTAGGAAAGAGAGTCCTATGACTATTGTATATATGTTGTACTGGTTTTTTTTTTTGTAAATTTAAGTATTATAAGACAACACTGTATGCCATGTACAAATTACTTACTTGAATAAATTATTATTAAATTATTAAATATGAAGGCGCTTTCTACAATGGGTCACCTCAATTCTAGTATAAATCTCTAACACCTAAAACCTACATCTAACCAACTCATAACGGTTTACAAATTGCTGCCAAAGAAAAAAACTTAATGTAGAAAGAAGAGTATTATAAGTAGAAGCTTACCTTAGCCAAAGTAACGAACATGGGTATCAGGTCACTCTTAACATATTCCACTTCCACAACCCTCGCGAACTCTCCCAGCTTGTAGGCAGCTGCGCGGCGGACCATGGGCGTGTCATCTTGACACAATGAACGGAAATGCTGACGTAGTTCTGCCTTCACGGGTGCAGACACACGAGGATAACATACGCTGAAGGAAAAGACAAACCAATTAGGAATTTTGAGCAATTTGCTTTCGAGAATCAAATTTTTACTCTCCGCAATTCTACTAACATTATATTATTTTCAATGCCCATCGAAATACGACAAGACCTCTTGTTTAAGAGAAGACACAAACAGCTATCACCATCAAAGATGAATTTTATATCATCCATGATATTAGATCATATAATTCAATGGCGAAGACGGTAATTCATTTATCGTAAGAATAATGAACCTCAAGTCACGTACAGTTCAATAGTTTACAAACAATATGGAGGTAGTAAATGAGAATTATTTCCAAAAACATGAAACTCTTAGGCGGTAGTACTTCGAACTTGCGGGAGACTTGGTGTAATGTCGTGTGTTACGGTGATATTTTGACTATTTCCTAAGGAACTGTTCTGTCTGAATAGGGCAGCGTGTCTTTTGGTAATACGAAGTTCTCTCAAGTTAAGTGTTTGCGGATAAACAGAAACGAAGCTATATTGGCTCTTGTTGCTTCACTCCCAAATGGTGCTCATTACAAGAGCAGATTAAAAGCAGATGGTCAAAGGCGCAAACTAGAAGAGGATTACATTTGTAAGAATTTGATACGGTTAATAGTTCTGATGGCTAAATTTCCACCTTAATAGGTACGTGTAATAAGGACTCGTGAGGTATAGGTAAATTAGCTTGGAGAAATTTTTGCGTTTGTAGTAGTGTATGCGTAAACTGGTTTATTCTGGTTTTGTGCGTGTTTCCACTTTCCACTATCAAGTGACGATTTTTTGCTTTAGATTGAAATATCTCGGAAACGGTGCGTCCTAGGTCAAAAATAACAAAAATTTTGACCCCCCCGTAAACCCCTCGGAGTTTTAAAAACCTAGATGAAAGGAAAAAAAAAAAAATTAAATATCGGTCTCTCCTCTTTGAAGTTTCACTTCTATCGTGTGTGAATCGCACACACACCTTTTTTTTTATAAAGTCAAAACCTTTTTCTTTAAAATAAAAACTTGTTTTTATTGAAAACAAAAATCAGAGTGTTGCTAGGGATAAGTATAAAATTAAATAGTAATGTTAGGATATCGAAACATTTTTGTATAGGCCAGAACGATATAGTGGAAACGCGCTCTAAGATCTGAGTAATATACACACCACTACATGCAACAATTTCTCGAGACTAATTTCACTGTACGATTTAATATAATTGATACCTATAATAATAGATGAATAATATAATTGTCCGTGTGGTGACGGATTAAGAATATGGAATGTCACTACCCCTATTCATCCCGTGGGTGTCGTAAGAACCGACTAAGAGCGCGAAACAATGCAGGACAACGGCACTGCAAAAAGAAGAAAAACTTGACACAAACCCTCTACCAAATCTGGCCAGCGTGGTATAGTAGGCCAAAATTTCCTTTCTAGCAGTGGACTGTTATAGGCTGTTGATGTGATGAACATAATTGACTATTCGCTTCGCTAGCGTGATTATTCCTTACTTCGTGTGTCTAACTTCAAAAATGGCGAACTTCCATACAACCGTTCATTATTTTACTCCCTTAGAGGTGAAATTTCCAACTGTGTGCTGTGTGGCGCTTACAACATAAAAAACATCAGCTTAAAAAATTTCAAGGTTGTAGTTCCAGCGGTTTATGCTCTGCATTGATGAATCAGTCAGTCAGGGTATACAATAATTTTATATTTTAGATACCTGAATTGACACATTACTAATTGCAATTAATAAAAGTTTGTTTTGCAAATCTTATCTTTAAAAATTGAACTTTAGAATAAGGTAAAATTTTGAGTCACTGTCAGAGATACAAATGACATGGTCTCCTTTCATAAAAGGGGATGTAAAAATTACATTATGTATTGGTAAAGAGTTTAGTTGGAGCCAATCACAACGCCGAACGCAGACACCGTGACGATCGAGTACAAGTGACATAAACTTACATTAGATCCCCTGTTTCTAGACAACAAAGAAAACTCAAACTTTTTTGCCAGCTTAGTGATACAAAAACAATAAATGGATATTGTAAGTACTTTGCTTTTAAACACCCATATAAAATTAATGTGTCGCGGTGTTTGTTACCAAACTCCTTCGAAACGGTTGGACCGATTTTTGATTGATTGATTGATCGGACAACATGTATTTTTCATACCTCTAAATCATAACCCCTAACTTTTTTTTTGACAAATATTTTTATTTTATTGTTTAAAGCATTAAAAAATATATACAACTTCAAATTTTCACCCTTCTACGATCAACTTCCTAGAAATAATGTATATGGCAAAACAATGTTTGCCAGGTCAGCTAGTACACCTACAAAAGTAAGCAGAATACGAGAAAATATGCTCCATGTACTTACATTCTAGTTGTAACAAAACTCTTACCTGAACAAACCACAAGCAGAAGCACGGGACGTAAACCAATCACCACCTGCCAGGCGTTGTACTAATGGCACAAAATGTTGTTCTAGGGCTTGAGGGGTGTGGTGGGCAGCTACAGCCCTCAGTGAGGCTACAGCTTTGTCTCGGACGACCGTCTCTTCTACAATAGCCAACGCCTCAAGCGGAGGCAGTAGGCAATGGGCAAATTCAATACCACCAACCAAGTTAATGAAATTGCCTGGAAATAAAAATGTTTATCATTTTGATGGATAGGACAGGTCCACAGGCGTGAAACTGATACAGCAGGATGCCTCTCGACGGCTGACTTCTTTTTGGTATAAAATCAGTACGTATTTCGACGTTCGTTTTCTTATACAAATATAAGAAACCTGGCACTATAGGTGAATTTTGACCATCATACTGTCATAATGTAGCATTTAAAAGAAAATTTGTTCAGACACAGATATTCTTTCATAGCTCTCCCGCGCACACACACTACGCCTATGGCCGTCGCGTTTCCCCACAACAAGTTGAGTATTGTCATAACATATCTTCTTTTTATCTCAAAGCTTTCTTTTTTTAGGGGGCAAACAAGCAGACAGGTCACCTGATGGAATGTGAGTGTCTGGCATGCACGGGCCTGCCGCCTGCAACCCAGGAGTCACAAGTGCGTTGCCTGCATTTTAGGAAGGAGTATGCTCTTTTCTTGAAGGTTGTATAGGTCCGGAAACACCTCAGACCATTACTCAGTAAACTTAAATTTAGTACTTTTATGACTCATCTTGTTTGCGATTCTTTTGCATTGCCAATTGCTTTATAGAAATGTGATAAAAATTTAAAAATATATCCTTACTTATGTTATTATGTTGTTGTTGTTATGTTTATCCTTACATGTGTAATGTGAGAGGCCTATGTCAAGCAGTGTACTGCAATAGGCTGATGATGATGATCCATACTTATATATAAATATTGCAAATTTTGTAAATATGGCATATTGCAAACTGCTTGTATGTAGTTTTGCAATCTCATTGTCGATATAGAAAATGCTGATAAATTGCACATGTATACACAAGATTCAGTTTTATTTGTGTGTAGTTAGAATGTATATTTGTATCTATTAATGTTTTTGTATAGTATTGTTATATTTACATATCAGTTTGCTACTCCAGTGTTAGTTGAATTACTTCTTTGGTTCCAACCCATGTTAATCCCACAAAAATCATAAATATAGAATTTATGTTTATTGTTTACTTATCAACTAAATAATAAGATAATAAGGGTAGTTGGTCACTGTCTAAGTGGTAATTTATTTATTTATAACTTAATGCACATGTACAACGGTGGACTTCATGCCATGGGGCATTCTCTCCCAGTCAACCTTCAGGTGATGTAGAAATATGATGCTGTAGGTGTAAATTTAATCACAAGATTAAAGCAAGCAACCCTCTCTCTTTGAGATTAACAGTCTTAGTTCCGTTTCCAGAACTGGGACAATCCCCTTGCCCTATATATTTTCTTTAACATTATAGTATCCGTGTGGTGAAACATTCAGGATGTAGTGTCACCATCCCTATTCATCCCGTGGGTGTTGTAAGAGCCGACTAAGAGAGTAAACTATGCAGGACATAAGACCTGCCAAGGGGAAAAAAACTTGACACAAACCCTATACTGACCCGTCTAACCAGTGTGGTGTAGGTCAAACCTCCTTTGTAAGGGAAGGCCTATGTCTAGAGGTGAACTATTAAAGGCTGTTGATGTAACCATTTTATACCCTTTTCTTTCTCTCATATGATGAGACTACATTACCAAGCATGGTTGACATCAGACAGGCAACCATCCATAAAAGGCAAGAACTAAAACCCTTTGCTATGTATACACATTGCAGGGACATCAATTATTATTAGGCAAGGTAAAGATGACTTATTTTAATAGTTATTTGTATGTGAGCAGAAAATATATAAATATTTTAAATTTATTGTATGTTAATGTCTAATGCACTTCCTAAGCTCGAATATTACAAAATGGGAGATATTTGCTGCTTAATAAATAAGTGGAATGTCCAGTATAGCGATCTAGGTGCCAATTAATTTATTTCTATCAGTGTTTTCTGATATTATGACTCCTTTATAGCGATTAATGATGTCTACAGAAAAACCTACAATTAATAATGTTAGTAGGTTAGATTCGTAACCACAAACTAAGAATATGCTTACCGAGTTGTTCAGCGAGGGCAAGCAGGACTTCATCTTCGTCGTATATTGTCTCCGTCAGAAAAGGGATCAACTCTGATCGGGTTCGCTCTACTCCAAGAGCCAATGCGATCGTCGATAGCTTCTTGATGGAATTCAACCGAAGCTGTACATCTTCATTTTTCAGTTCGTCTATTAGAACCGCAATTGGATATAATGACTCATCCGTTCCCGAATCGCTCGCTGCCATTTTAATGTATGTTATGCTGGTTTATTTTGTAGTTACACACACACTTTTTATTATTCACTAAGGGAATTGGTAGTTAAAGATAATTATTATTCAGTGGAAAAGAATGCTGTTGAACTCAAATACAGCAAAATGGCAGCTTGTTTATTCTTTCTTTTTAATTTTGCAGTTCATCAGTGTTGCCATTTCCAGGCGATTGAAACTGTGATTCGTGCGTGCCAAAGGCTTATTGATTTTTTTCTATTAATTTAATATATTTCTATATTTGGTTTCTTTAACATCAAAACTTTAAAAATAAGTTCCAAAATATTAGGAAAAGTACAATTAGTATTGATAGTTTTTGGTTTTAATAAACTCACTAAAAGCTCCATCTAGTTGTAAACGTAGGTAATGTCACTTGACTTGTTGAAAGTATCAGTTATTTCAAATTTCAAGGTAAATAATATCGTCGCCGACCTCATAAAAAGACCTCAAAAATAGATAGACATCCATTTTTTCCTTAATCCTTTAGTCAAGTACGTAGTTGCCTTCAACTTTAACATAGGTTGTTCTAACGCTTGAAACTAAATTTATCGGTTTAGTCACGTGCTATCGTTTCATAATGGCTGAACTTACACTGTGTTACAATTTTGAGAGTATTTTAAAACTAGATATTTACCGGCGACTTTGTAAGGTAGTCTTACTATCATTTTAGCATAATTAAAAAAAATGTTGCTTTTTTTTTTGCAAATCTCCAATTTAAGCAACATCTGCCAGAAAATTTTCTGTACTCAATACTTTCAATTTTGTCTACCCCCTGGTTCTAGAATTAAAGGTAAATTAGAGCCATCGAATTCTAAGTTAACTAAAACTACTAAAGAACTAACTACTACTAAAAAACTCAAGAAAACCTAAAATAATGTTAATATCCCAACTCTTTGTCGGCATTATTTTACATAAATAAATACTCATTGATGGATTTTGTTTTAAAAAGTAGTTTCAGTCACTTTCTATTTCAACATGACATTGTTTTTTTTTCGATTGAGAGAGATACTTCATTTTGGTAAAAATAATTTTGTATTAAATATATTATATTTTAGTAATGATTCGTAATTAGGTGTTTGAGTAACACGCTATGTCAAAAGAGGATGAATTGCATACCTCTCTAGCTCACATCATACTATGCGCCGTCGCTGGAAAGAGTCTCAGTAGAGCATCCGGAAAGAGTTTTACTCACCCGGGAATGCACGCCAATTTCCTCATACACGGTGTCATCGGATTTTTCCATTATCAGAGTGAGTACTGAATTAGTTAATCCATTTGTAAGACTAGAGCGGTCACAAAGAAAGTTTTACTTTAGCCAAATTGCCTTTGGAATAATTATAAACATTTCCACATTTGGGATTAGTGAAAAATTGCAATTTAATAGCTATTTGTGCGTTTTACTTAAAGATTTTACTGTCTTAGTCGGTATTATTCCAAACAATTCCTCGGAGCACTCTATGATACGAGCGATGAGTGAAGCTACATCTTTACGCAACGCCGAGGGTCAAGCCATTGAATGCAGTCCAGATAGAGAAGCTGGAACTGGGGTGCCCCTGTAAAGAGATGAGAGCAGTATTTCTTATAAAGTTACAGGCCGTGGGCTGGAGTGAAATACTGTCTCTATCAGTTCAGCACACTGAGCTTTTTCGAGGCTAATTTGGCCTTACCCTCTGAGTGACCGCATTCAGACACTAGCTGTGGCAGTTAGGAAAGTATCTCAGGACAAATACTATCGGAGCGAGAGTGCGTGGAACTCTGCCGTCTCCTTCTGCGAGCAAGTTATGCTCGCGAAGGAGACGGCGGAGCGGGACCGGGAGAGGTTTAGAACTCTCCCGGCCCGCCAGGCCCGGGCACGGGCCAGGCAGCGCAGGCGACTCAGGCGCCGGAGGTCGCAGAACGACCTCCGTCCTCCATAAGCACAGGCCTGGGGGTGACAGGTGAGGCCATCTGTCACCCTAGCAGAAGCAGGCCAGGGTGGCGGCGAGCGCGTTGCGAAGCGCGCTCGCTTCCAGGGAGCACAGGGAACATGGGGTTCCCACACGGGGCGGGGGTCGTCTACTCGTCTGTAGATGACCCGAGGTATGTCGGGGCACCAGGGCCTTCCTTTCTAGGGTATACCTGGTTCCCCGGCTATTAGTACCCGGCGAAGGCGTGCGGTTTTAGTCGGTTTGAGTCCGACATGCCACCGACAGGTGGTATCCGAGGGGATTTCCGCACGGAAAAAAAAAAAAAAAAAAAAAAAAGGACAAATACTATATTTTTTTGCGGTGAACGCGCAAACCTGTCTTTTAGGGGTTAAGTTGGACTAAATGGAGTTAACCCGTCATACTTTCGTTAAGGAACTTTCAATTTCAGACAAGTTTGTTTCTGTTTTTGCTTTTCATGACGTTTTTCCCAGAAATGTTTGCGCGGCCGGTATAAAAAGCATCTTCCATAGCAATGGACGCTGCTGGTTTGCAACATATTAATGATATGCAAAAGAAACAGTATGGGCGATAGCACACAGTCTCAGGGGTAGGGGGCACCAGAATTTACGGACTTGGCGTCAAAGCACCGGCGATAAGACCTGTCTGCAAGGAAACTGGTGACTCACGTACAAGTACGCATCTTACTGCCCTATAGTTCATTTTCCTGGCCGGCTGTACAAAAGAATACAGAACTGAAACAACTTCAATGAACTCTAAAATATTCAGGAACTGAACCGCACATTTTTGTTCCAGGTAACGCGTTCAATAATGACTTTACTGAACTCTACAAGATCAGTCTAAAGGCTTCTAAGTATTTGGCTATTCCATGCTTGATGGCGGATTTGTACCACAGTGACCAGACCCTCCGTTCCGTTCATTTACTCTCTGGTGTAGTTCCTTTTGTCTTGGCACTAACCAAAAATGATAACGAACCTCTCGGGCATCTGTTGGTTGCTTGCAATGTTGTTTCCCTCTGCTATTATGCTAACGAGAAGAAAAGCGAATGGGGATGGTATACGGCTGGGGCGGCAGTCCTGGCATATTTTGTCACAACTCAGGTGAAGAAAAGTATAATTTATCCTTTATCCCTGGCATTAATGGAGTACTGTGCGTATAGAATGTTCCACCACTCGTTCGATGCACCCCCGGCCCCCACACGTTAAAGTGAATTAAACTATTTTAAGCCATTCTCTTTATTTATTTCTGGACGACGGTTCCAGCATCACCATCTGGGTAGGTTTGTTTTGGGAGAGTGACAGATGACAGAAAGAAAGAGAAGAAAAAACAAAGACATTATTATAGCCTATTTGTTAATCCTAGAGACTAAACTGACATTACGTGGGTGGTTCCTTTTTTGGAATTCTTAAATAGTGATGTCGGAAATTGTCGTTAATAAAGTCTAGTTATCGTTTTATCCGTTTCAGTGATATAACAAGTTTTTACTATGTGACTATAGTTAATAAAATATGTTCTTCAACTAGTAGTTCTCTATGGTATTTGCCGCATTGTTTATTGGTAACCAATGTTTTAATATTTTCTATCATCGCTCGAAGTATAGAGCAGTTCTTAAGGAACCTGTCTGTTTACGACGTTTTTAACTGTTTATGATGGCTCTTTTTCTTTCTCTTCTCAATTTATTAAAAAAATTAAAATGATAACTTTAAACATTTTTTGAAGTTAATTGTGTAATAAAGATAAACGAATTAAAAAACCGATATCGTAGTTACATCACTGCGCAAAAGAGCTGGTATCATTATTTCTAAGTTTGACATTTGCATGTATCAATTTGGTTTTCGGGATTAAAAAACAGGCTATCACTATGAAAATGATTAATTTACTTAATCTTTACTTTTTGCTAAAATTGATATTATAGTTTTTACAGTTTCTGCCCAAATTTCCGGTATTTAGATTAATGGCAACATCCTTTAAATGGCTAAAACTAAAATTGAACAAAATTAATCTTTTTTAATAATTTATAAAAATATTCATTTGTACAGATGTAATTAAATCTGATAAGAAAAAATGTCAGCGTTGACTGCCTATTGCGCGCTAACTTGACTTGCCTAAAAGCGCGATCTTTTTTTCTATTAGTTGGTGATTGTGCTTTTCTTCTGGCTTTCACTCATTAATTATTGTAGTATCTATTTATTACTTAATTATTGTAGTATGCACTAAATACCCTTATTCAAAATTAAAATTTAGGCTCCCATAGCTACTCATACATTGCTAGTCCCTAAAATGCCTGTAGGATAGAAATCCCAAGTATACCTTTAAAACCAGTAAACGAGAAACATTAACGAGATTCTAGGCATTTGGGCCAAGAGCTTAAACCTGGATGCATCAAACCACTTAACTTTACTATATTTGCTAAAGCGATGGTCTATCGCCAGATGGCACCATATTATCAGAAGATAACGTATCCTTTGGCCCTGGCATTAATGGAATACTGCGCGATGAAGATACCTCAAGTCACCTTTAATCCAGTAGTTGAACTAGTGTCATGATATCGTACATATCTCATGATCAACACTGCAACAGTGATATGATTATCAATAAATATGTATTTTTCAATGGTTATTATTGATTTCTGAAATTCTTGTATAGTATTTGTAAGAAATATGAATATGAATTGGTTATACATACGAAACTAAACACCAACTAATAAAAATTTACATCGACACTTGTGAAATTTGGAATGGAATGTTGAAAACAAATATAGGTATTCATTGTCCTACTCACACTGTTATATTATTCAATCAACTCAACATCAAACGTCTGGAATAGTGACGGTCAATGTGGTGTATGGCTTTTATGGAAGATGGGGCAAACGAGCAGATGGGTCAGCTGATGAAAAGTAACTACCTCCGCCATAAACGCCTGAACTCACAAGAGTAAACGCGTTGCCGACCTTTCAGGAAGGAGTACGCTCTTTTCTTTTTTCTCCAGTTGCTGTTTTGCTATGCAAAACATTACTTTCCGTTGCCGCGTCGTCAAATCATAAATATAAAATTCTAGGTTATCTACCACAAAATTTTAACTTACTCGGCTCTGCAGTTATTTTGAATTAAGAGACACTAGCGTGCCTTGTCTCGTCAATCTAATGAATTCGTCTTTAACAAACCACCTAACCCAGCTCCTCATTTTTTGATGTGGTGCTTTGAATCTGAGAATGAAGCGTATGATTTGGAAAACATATAACTTGTTTTTAAACTTTTGCTTTATGATACCCTTTTAGATGTGTTAGTTGGGAACTTACAAAAACAACTTGTAGACCATGACAAACAGGGTAACGCAGACTACCTGGTACGTTGGCAATAATTTTGCTAGTCCACGCATCCACAGAGATGGAATTGATCCTGCTCCCTTATTGTCACGATTCAAAATGGCTTAAACGTAGGTCACTTCTGCCTGGCAATCAGTAACTGATTTTTTTTTAATAAGATTTCTTGTAAATTTTACGGAATTTTCAAATAATTTTATTAAAAATAGTCCATGCAGCATGATTAATGATCAGACCAGACATCTGGTGTATACTTCGAGGTCCTCCTTAAATATAGCTTCAGCTGCAGGATTTTCGGCAGAATGGCTGCTCCAGGGACAATTAAACGAGGCATCATCTACTATAGTCACATATTTTTCTCGGGAGCGGCTAATATTGGGTGACGAACAGCCAAACATCTGCAACGAAGTTCGCATTGCGCTAACAGGATCGCCGAATTATTACGAAACTAAAACTACATATTGTATTTATCTCTTTTCTTAATATTTAAGTTAAGAAGGTGGTGGACGTGTGGTGAAGAATTAAGAATGCGGAATGTCACCACCCATATTCATCCCGTGGGTGTCGTAAGAGCCGACTAAGGGAGCAGACTACACAGGACAACAGCACTGCAAAAAGAGAAGGAAAACTTGACGCAAACCCTATACCGGTTGGCCGTCTGGCCAGCGTGGTATAGTAGGCCAAAACCTCCTTTCTAAGAAGAGGCTAAGTCCAGCAGTGGACTATTATAGGCTGTTGATGATGATGATAAACGTGGACTGACTGAATGATATAGATTTGAACTCTCCTACAGTAAAGAATTATGGTTTGAATCGAGTAATTTTGTTAGCGTTGTAACCGTTTTTTACAAAGGTTTATCGCGCAGAAAATGTAACAAAGGAACTTCGACATTTTACAAATTGTATTTAATGTAGAAATCTTTCCTAAAATTTACTTTATACCTCTTGGATAATGTTCGGTTAATAAAAGCGTTTCAGTACCACGTAGCAACAGGAAAAACCTATTCCTTTGTTTCAAGCACATAACGGGTGTAACCAACCATGGTGGAAGCTGAAAGGATGGCTAATGCACGTCGCGTTGCGCTGCGAAGCACCCGCTGAGACCATCTAGTTAGTGTACGCATCCCGTGTATTTTACCACTACGTAAGACTTTTAGAATATTTTTGTATTGAATTGTTTTACAGGAGTTAACCTTGAAGGGTTTTTGTGGTTTAGAGAGGTTCTGTGGTGAAATGACGAGAAAATATTGCTACAGGTAAGTTATGTCATACAATGTGCAGTGGTGTCAGCAGTGGCAAGATGGTTGGTGAGCATCCGTGAAAATACATATCAATAGTCGTGTGTTTGTTCAGTCACTTAGTCATCTAGTTTGGAGGTATGCCGAAAAGCAGACGCTGGGAATTGACCAGCATAGTAGCACTTGTCTAGGGACCTGAGAATTTGCCCATGCACAGAAAAGACCGATCCAAGGATGAGTTTTGCATCTTAAAAATATCAGTATGACTTCTACGATGTTAATTACCTGGAATTGTTTTTCAAATAATTTATATAATTGAGATTTTTGACTCCAGTTGCTTCTGGTCTACACAAGCTTCCATCTCATATACATACAGAGAGAATATAAGTTCCTAGCTTTTACTCGCGGCTGCGCCCGCGTGTATGTCGGTTATCGCGGTAAAAAGTACTTAGCCTATGTTACTCGCTGGCTCTGTGTATATATCAGTTCAGTGGTTTAGGCGTGAAAGCGTAATAAACAAACAGGCAAACTCACTTTCACATTACGGTAGATGACTGTCAAGTCAAATCAGTATCTTTTTTTAAACGTCAGAACTTTTTGAATGGTAGAAAATTTTTGTATGGAATACTATTTCGTGACGTCATACCTAGCTATTATCAAATCAATAAAAAAATTCATTTATGATTTACGACAATTCAGGTTCTAATTTAAGACGTTACATTTTATGATGTAGGCGAAATAATTTATTTTAAACCTAGGAATCTACCCTTTTATAATGTAAGTAAGTATTGATTTTTATTTTTGTGTTTATGTGGTAAGCCTTGTGCCTTGAAAACCTAACTTACAGGTGATGTGATTCATAGATTACTTATATTAGATATATTTTCATAGTTCAAAAAGTTAGTTGTTTTATATTATTTGTAGTATCTGTTTACAGACTTGGTTTTTTGGCACGATTCCTTTTCTATGTATCAAAATACTACCGAACATGTGCAGGAATTCCCTAAGCCATTAATGTAACTGATATTTTAGAAGTATTTGTGCCAAAAAAAAGCCCTATTATGTGAGTAGGAAATGGTACAGTATTTTATTTGTTGTACAGAATCAAATTATTAGAGTATGTGATAAATCAATCAGTTTTCTTTATAAAATGCTATACTAGACTATCATAATGATCGAATATTTATTCTATCTAACAGACACGCGGACAACACCCTTGGGCTGCGCTGAAAACCAGCGCTAGGTGCATTGCGCCTAGCATTATGCTGAGTCGTGGTCCATATTGGTACAGATGTATTTTATACATGTCTCTGTTGTAAATATGTAACAATCCTGTAAAATGTGCCAATTAAAGTATTTTTCTTTCTTTCTTTCTTTCTTTCTTTCTATAAAATTAGTGTTTTAATACTAAGCAAACAGTGCCGATTTTTCTTTTCTTTGCTACAGTTATATTACCTTTCTAAAATTTTCAAAAAAAAAACAACAACAATTGTATTTGTGATACTTTTCTTGTATGACTCAAAATTATATTAAAATTTGTTTTTCTAGTAATAAACCTAGAAAGTTTGTTTTTAGACAAGCAAAACAAAGTTACACTCATTGTGAATTGAACCGAAACAAACAATTCTATTACGTTCCAATTGAGAAGTGTGTTATGTTCTTAAAATTATTCACAGCACGCACGAAAGTGTTTAATTATGTTCCAGAGAGTCTGTTTCTAATTATTTTATACAGTTGTTTGTAGGGTTACCAAGTTATGGCAGGATAACCCAAAAATAACGCCGTGGCAGCGCCTTGTTCCGGCACAAATGGGACTCGACCGGAGCGATGCCACGGCCTTACAGAAAACTGGTGTTAAGTCAACTTTCATTGTTTTTTACCGAGTCAGTGAGATTACCGGGTGGCTCAACTTCACCCCTCCCCAATTCTGGAGTGAATGGAGAGTGGCATCTCTTGAGTTGCAAGTATACATAGGCGGCCGTAATCACATACCATAAGAGGGCCTTTTTTTTTGGGTGGCGGATTGGAAAATCCCTTCGGGATTTATTGATGCCCTTCTTGTTAAAATCAGCTGGACGGGAGGCAACAAACTCTTCAAAGGCATTTTGTACTGCCTCTCAGGAATTGAATTTTTTACCCACTAAAAAGTTGCCTAAATTTTGGAAAAAGTAATAGTCGGTAGGTGCAAGGTCTGGTGAGTATGGCGGATGAGGGAGAGCTTCCAACCCCAGCTCTTGCAGCTTGGAGACTGTCTGTTGCGCAGTATGGGGTCGCGCGTTGTCGTGAAGGAGCAGTGGGGACGACCGATTGACCAAAGCTGGTTGCAGATGTGACCACCAGACCTTGCACCTACCGACTATTACTTTTTCCTAAATTTAGACAACTTTTTAGTGGCTAAAAAATTCAATTCCCGAGAGGCAGTACAAAATGCCTTTGAAGAGTTTGTTGCCTCCCGTCCAGCTGATTTTTACAAGAAGGGCATCAATAAACTGCCAATGCGTTGGCAAAGATGCGTCGATTGCATGGGTGATTACTTCGAATAACAGAAATAAAAAAGTTTGAAAAAATAAGTACTTTCACTTATTGCATACAAAACGGCAATTTCATAGGTAAAGACCTATTATTTTACTACGAAAATACCTTTTAGGACAATTGCGAGACGGAGAGTTGATCGAAAACGATGGCGATGGACTTTAGTTCCTCTACAGATTGCGTCGCTAACTGTTGTGCCTTCAGATCATACTAACAAGGTTGTACAAACCTTGTGTCTATGATCTGAGGTTGTGCCCGTCTCAATCAGACTAGTAATATTACGTAACCAAAATTGTTTCGTATTAAATAATTGAAGTTAAATGCATCTCGAAGTCTTGAGTGAACAGTCACGGACACCCATAGCACTGCAGTAGAATGCGAACGATAGACTTTATGAAAAGACTTATCGTACATCCTATAGTTAGTGTTCATGTTGTCTTTATAGTAAAATAATA